TCAAATTCTAAGTCTCTGATTAATATCTGAAATAGTACTTCATATTACTCAAAGTCTTATGTTTGGATTTCTTGTCTGAAAGAAAGTCTCAAAACAAGAGTGGAATGAGAAAAAAAATCCTAGGACTGCAGAGTCTGTCCCAGAACAAAAGAGCATTAACAGTGTTCCCATGTGTAAAGCCTCTGACAGCAGATAAAGGAATTTTCCAGCTAATAAAAACAAAGAAAAAAAAATTAGAAAAAATCTATGGAAAACTACTTTGGTTAAAATTAATGAAGCAATTTGGTTCTCTCCATAAAAGAGATACTCACAGGATTCCGTAAAAATACAAAACAGCTATGGGAAACAACTGAGTGTCCTTTTTGTTATGATCAATCATATAGATAATCCAAATCCTGCAGCTTATCTTAATGCCAGAAAAATCCAAATATTTTTCTTCCTTAAATGCCCAAAGAAGTACAATGGTACATTACATCTAGACTGTTTCATTAGCTCAGCCCTGTGTCTCAGGTGGGGATTTTAAGGCAAGAGAACTTTTAATTCTGTGGTGATTTAGATTCACTTTATCTGTAATTTGACAGTAATGCAGCCATTCTAGCACAAATACATAGTGCAGCACGATTTACTAGAGAATTCTAACATTTAGTCAAATAATTTTTTTTAAAAAAGGCAATGATGAAGTGATATATAGATGATCCAGTATCTTCATGCAATCAAAAGGAAATATAAATCCATGCTAGTGGTAATGTACATGAATTATCCCATACAAAGTTGCTTAAGCTGTTGTGTGCCCCTATGATTGCACACTGAAATGTCAAAACATGTCAACACTCAGCATCAAATAAAAGTCCTGCCATAAATCTCAACAGGAAACCAGGGTTCAACACATCATATGCAATGAAAAGCTTACAGAAGGAGAAAGGGCAAAGGAAGGTCCTTAGCAAAGAGGGAGAAGAGTGAGACAAAACAGATGAAGGAGCAGAAGGAATCAATTAAGACACTGATAAACTTAGAAATTTTTGCTCATTAAAGTGGAAAGCATATTTTACGTAATAACCCATGTCACATTTGTATAAACCAATGCTATTTTAGTGTTAATACCACACATGCATACAGACAGTCCTACTCAGAAAGGAAAAATTCTTTTCATTTTGATTGTACAGGAAACTGAAAGAAGATTATATTTGTAAACACTAGGCTGAGCACTGAAGTTTTCAGCAGCAGTGGCACCAGGGCTGCATAGAGGGATGCTGCAGCTCCTGTGTCAGCAGAACATGTCACCACTACACAAAGGATAGCTGTATAATATTCTTTCCATCTAACATTATACAAAGTGATTCACACCAACACTCATTTCTTAAACTTTACCTTTTAGTACAGCTTATGAAGCATGATGCAGTCTTCAAATATAATTATCTTCCTTATGGTTGTTGGTTTGTTGGGGTTTTTTTTCGTTTTTTTTTTTTTTAATAAAACAATACATAAAATTACTTTCCACTGCCTTATGTGTCCTTAGTTTTCCCTAAGCCTGGATGAAGAGACAGGAATGGCTCTGTAGGGATTGCTCCCATCACATAACCTGAGGCACAAACTATCTCAACAATACACTTTCACTGCCTCCTTTCCCCTTTCTCCTAAATAAACTCAGTACTCCTCTAGTACTGTCTGTCTGATTCTGCCCAGCAGGAGACGCTTCAAAAGAACATGAAGAATGGGCACCTGTGTGACAACCTGCCTCCTGAAGGGATTTTCCCATGTCTCTGCTGCTTGCTGTCTTACACACTCCTCCTTCCAGGCAAAAAGGGCTGCTTTGGTGAGTTTGGCTCCCAGCAGCACTCTGCAGCTCAGTCTAGGTGTGGAAGCTCCAAGAAGGTATTTACAAACTGTGCTTTCTAGATTCGAATTGCTGCTTGAACAGATGACTGAATATGCTTTGGAGTGGTGCAGAGCAGAAAAATACTTTTAAAACTGTAATTGCAGATCATAGCAATGAAGCAGCTAGACTAAGAATAAACACAGCAAGTGTACACTCACCAGAATCACTATATACACATGTACACACATACCCATCCACGCACATATTTGGCAATGGCAACAGCTCAAGTATAACTAGACTAAAAGCCATTTCTGAAGACGTTTCTAAGGTTACTCGGTTAAAACTGAGTCATTGCATGCTGTTGCATGTCTCATTTGAAATTCAGGATGAAGTCTAAGAATTGCCATTTTTATAAGTTCAAGTTGTTTCATAATCAAATTTTTAGGAAACAGGAAAGTAATATAAATAATGCCATCTCTTCAGTTAAGTCTTACACAGATTATGTTTTGGGCAATCTCTGTAACTTTTGATTTCAATCTTTTTAAAAATGGATCATATCTGAATGTCTTCTCTTTTAAATACTTAAGGCTGGCAGTGATACAGTTTGGCTTGTTTAGCATGCTGAAACCCAGTAGTATTCATGAACTAGACAGCTCCAGGACAAATTTCTGATATCATGCAAAAATAATTAAAACAAATGTATTTTTTGTATTTCCAGTAATTACTACAAATAATAATCTTTTTATTCCCAGAGATTAAAAAAAAAAAAGATTAATTCATATAACATCATCCCTGTGATGACACATATATACCAATGCAACTTCACATTAATTACAGCAGGCAAACCATCAATCAGTGCAATGTGACAAGTAGTCTCCATTCCTCCTCCTCCTATCTCTCAAAAATAAAAAAAAACAAAAACAACAACAAAAAAACCCACCAACCAAAAACCTCAACTCATCTTTAGATCATAGATGTTGTGAACAGGAAGCAAAAATATTATTTATTGAACACTAGCCTTATTAGCCTTTCAAAATGCAATTGCATGCCCTTCCTCTCAATGGATTTGATTTTTAACACAATGACTGAAAAATTCCTGCAATAATATAATACACTTACAACTCAAATATTAAACCTGTTCTGAGCAAAAATACCCATAGAAAAAAAAAATTAAGTATTGTTTTAGTAGTATCTGTACCATCTGATCCTGTCTAGCTCTAAAACATATGTTAATTTTAAGCCCCTGTGTAGGCCATAGACTTCAGGGAATCCAGGGAAAGTCTAGAAGATTAGTCAGGCACTTAATACTGCTAGCAAACGCATAACTCCGGGATGGCAGGGAGGCCATGAGGAACAGGTTTCAGAATGGCAATGGAAAATAAGGAGTGAGAGCACACAATAGTAAACCTTTGCAAAAGAATGGGTCATGTGATAGAGCTTTCAAGGACTACTTGAAAGGCATGTCACCACTGTGGGGGGCAAAAAAAAAAAAAAAAGGTATTTATTAACTTATTGTTGCTTACACTGATTCTTTCCACATAGCAGTACTATCTCTGCATGTCTGCCACCTAATTCTTAATCAGGTTACAGGATTTTCCATTTGTTATAAAATAAAACAAAGAGGGGTTTTGTATATATCTTAAAAACAAATCCCTATGAGATACGACTCAGAAAACTGTTATATTTGTTCTGGTCAATGCAACACTGTGAAAAGTTCATACTATTTATCAGTTTTTACAAACTTAACAGGAAACTCAAATGATCCATCACTATTTTGTTTCCATATGAAAATTCCCACAAAAATACATCAGCCACTTCCTAAATGCATGTATCTACAGGCTTTTCCTTAACCAAAGCCATAAATCAGTGAATCAAGCAACTCCCTGCAGCAGGCTTTAAAAAGAGGCAGGTTATGCAAGATGCAGAACTCTTATCAAAAGCTTTTATTTAAAAGCAATCCATGAAAATGACTGTCAGTTTCTTAACTTCTATTCAAATCTAAGTAGAAAGCCCTATTAGGAATGCCTGTAGAATCACTATTGGCCAAGAAGGCCAAAAAAGCCTAAATCCACATTGCAACTTGGGTCTAGCCTAAGACAAACAGCTTCTCCAACACTGTAGCACCTTCAGAGTTATTATGATAGACCTTAAACCCTACATAAACAAGCTTTGACTAAGCTATCATCACAGGTTTGATGCTGCAATGCTGTCAGATGCCTTCTTCAAAAAAACCCCCAAACCAAAACCCCAATACAGTACAGATTCCATTGCTAAAAGTACATAAAACAGGAAAATGGACTGCGCCTGTTAGAAACTTTCCAAATAAAGACTTCTATCCTACAACAAAGGTAAGAAAAATCATGAAAATACTGGTAGTTTATAGCCACAGGTATATAAGATGTAAATTGATTTTTTTCTCTGTTCTTTTGATGCTGACAGTTCCCTCCATGCCTTTTTATACTCAAAAAACTCTTGCTACAGGACGAAGTTAGAAAACTCCCTAAAATAAAAAGCCTGTGGCAATTCTAAATTTTTTCTTTACAAAGGCAGTATTTTATAACTGTGGCCAAGAGTATGTTGGACTATGTCAGGAAAGTTTGATTAACATAACTGCTAAATAAACCACTCTGTATTTTGAGATTGACTATTTGACAACAGGCTTGATATAAGCATCCCAAGATCTCCATTTTAGCACTATTTAGTGATTCTGTTGCTTTACACATTCTGAAATTAAAAAATGCTGTTACTATATATATAAAAAAAGTTTTTAAATCCCTGTCCTTTAAATAGGAAAAAAACCCCTCCATCAAATAGTTCTTACAAGGAGATAGATCAATACCATATTTTATTATCAGTTAATTCAATGTGTGTGTTTAGACACACTGGAATTATATAGGATGCTAACAACAGCTGGAGTGGGGGAGGGGAGGTGGGTGAGAGGAGAAAGGGGGATGAGGTCTTAACTCCAGTAAGAAACTTGTGTACCTGACTGATAAACTCAGCCAAACTTCTTTATGTATCCTATTTATCTTCAAATCTATTTATGTCACAGAAGAGAACATATGAGCATAGCAGCTGTTACTATAGCAATGAAACTGGGAATTTTGAGAACACAAAAAACCCACCCCTTGAAGGATGCTCAGTTTAGCAGGGAGATGGTTTAGAGAACAGCACACCAGTATCTCACTTCTTAGGATCTGCTCAAAGTCTGCGGTTACAGAGACATTAAATCAGCTGTAACTGCCTGTTCCTCAAAGAGCACTTGAAGCCAAATCACCTCTACCTATTACTCGTCACGACTCGGTACACCAGGAGTTCCTGCTAAGTAACCCCAAACTTGTCAAGTACGCCAGAATCGCCTGTAAATCCGGGAAGCGCGATTCTTTGTAAAAGGCTCACAGGTTCTGATCGCGGCAGAGAAGGGATTCGCCATAGTAACAAACCCCCACCCGCACCGCGGGTCACAGCTGGGAGCCTGGCGCGGCGAGCCCCGCACCCCTCGGCACCACGCACACCTGCCCGGCGCCGGGAAGGCGGGACGAGCCGGGAGAAGTCAGGTACTTTCCTCATGCAGCGGGCAGGCAGTCTGCCTCTACGGGCACGAACCGGGATGAAACCCACCCACAATCCTCCCACACATACCGTTTCTCTGTCAAACCCACCCCGCTCCCCCCTCTCCTCGGCCGGCGGCCCTGCCACCCCGCCTCCCGCCCCTCGCCCCCCACCGCCTCCGCGCACCCCCCGTCCCCCGCCGCGGACCCGAGGCGCTGCCGGCCGCGGTTTTACCTGCGAGGGAGCCGGGTCTCTGCAGGGTGGCGGTGGCGTACAGCTCCTGGGAGTGCTTGCTGTACTGATCGGCAGCGTGAACCAGCCGCTTGGTAGGCGACAGGGTGGCGTAAGTGCCGATGGTGGAGCTTAACTGGTGGATAGGAGAGGAGGAAATGTTAGACTGGACGGTGGGCGGGGAGGTCACTCGGATGGGGGACGGCGACAGTCCCGCCGAGGAGACGACGATGTTGATGGGCGAGCTGGTGCTGTAGGACTTGGCCAGGCGGCTGGGGGACTGCTTCGGGGAGGAGAGGCGCTGCGCGGTGGCGTAGGCGGCGCCCTCGGCGGCGGAGCCGGCCCGCGGCAGCTTGGTGGGGGAGCCGCCGGGCTGGGCGGGCAGCGGGGAGCTCACCCGCTGCGCCGGCAGCGTGGAGCTGGCGTAGTAGAGCGCGGCGGCGTGCTGGGGCTCGGGCAGGTGGAAGGCGCTGCCGTGGCTGGGCGCGAAGGGCTCCCGCGGCTGCGGGGCGGCGGGCGGCGGCGGCGGCTCCGGGCCGCCCGGGTGGGCGCCGCGGCCCCCCGGGCCCTGCTGCGGGAAGGAAAGGCAGAGGCGTCAGCGGGGGCGGCGGCGGCGGGGGGCGCCCCGCTCCCCCCGGCCCTGCGCGGGGCGCTGCGAGGGGGGGGCCCGCTGGCCGGGGAAGCCCCCCAGCCGCCTGCAGCCCCCTCTCTGACCTCGAAGCAGGCCGGCACCCGGCGCCCGCGGGATTACGGGGCTCGTTAATCTGCTAAAGCATTCCCAGCCTTTGAAGGGAAAAAAACCTGCCGCCGGCTCGGGCCCAGCGGCGTCGAAAGTCCTCCCGACGGCTGAAGCCGCCACCCGGCCGTGGGACACAGCGCTCCGGGGCGCCGGAACGCGCTCGCCTACCGACCTCTAAACCAGGCAGAGGTTAGCCCCGGCTCAAATAAATACATACATACAGAGATACGCCCGCGCCCCTTTATTCTGCATACATTAGAGAAGAGCAGCCCAAGCCACGGAAAGGGCTTTAATGGAGTAACTTTCCTCGTTTTCCAGCAATCTGTCCGCACGAGGAGAGGCACCGCACCGGGGATTCCCTGTCCCCAGCGGCGGCACAACCACGGCCCCGGCCTCGTATAAAGGGGCGGAGGGAGGGGAATCCCGGACCAGCTCACGCCAAGCCCCACCGGCACCACGGCAAGCGCCCGCCTCGTACTTATTTACGCGGCACGAAGGGGGCGGGAGGTTCGGGAGGAGCTGCCGGGGCCGGACCCTCCCCCGGGCCGCATCCAGCGGGGAATCTGCATCCGGATAGAGGGAGGGAGCTCCTCGCACGGACCGACTGGCCGCGGGCAGGGCAGCGCTAAGTTCTTCCTAAGGCCAGTAATTGAAGGAGCGAGTGAAAATCCTCGGGAGATGCCGCCTATGAGAAATTTCGGTTATGTGCCTGAGCAGCTTCTGGAGCCGCAGAGGATGGAGCTCGCCCTCACACATAGACGGCTTCCCCTTTTTTTATCGAGGATCTTAAGCTTAGGAGAACATCTGTGAATCTGGTAACATTAAAATCCTCTCATAACTGCACCCCGCAGTGAGCGAGAGTTCAGCACTCTGTTGGAAGATGCACTCTTGGATTCAGATACTATTTTTTTCTGGTTATGCAGGGGATTTACTTGAAACCCCAGAAAGCGCTCCACATCCTCAGAATTGACAGTGTAGTTTGAATCGGTCTGACCAGTGCTTCCCCAGAACACATACACACACCTCAGATACTGATTTCCTTAGCGAGAAGAGGCTTTAAAATGTGAATAATGAATTTTGTGACTCAATTCAAAGAGGTGTGGTGAATGCCAAGAGCAGCATTGTTATACATTTAAATAACAATGTGGTTTTTTAGTAGCGTCCTACAGAAAAAAAAAGAAAAAAAATTCAAACAAGTAAGCAAAAGCACCATGTTCCTCGTACGAAATTTGATTTATTTTCACTAGGATACTCAATAAAGGATTTGATCAGGAACTGAGGACAAGGTAACTAATCAGAGCAAAGAATAAACAAGGTTTTAAATGCCAGAAATGTGTACTTCTACCTATGTATGCCCACTGGGAATTTTTCTGTCCTTTTTTTCACTTAAATTTACTCAAATGCCTTGCATCTGGGGGAAGAATAGGTATTTTCCTAGACAGTGACAAGAAACAAGGTTTTAGAGAAGCTGCTCCTGGTGTTTTGTTCTCAGTTGTTAGCAGCATGGAAGAAACTACAGCACTTAGAGCGTTCAGGCCTCTCAAGGGAGCACTGTCAGACCCAAACCTCACTGGCTTCTTGAGGTTTTGCACCTCATAGAGCAATGCCTTTACATATAAATGAAGTGTAAACTGTTCCCTCGAGGTGCTCTGTGTGGTAACTCCCTGGCAAGCAAGTGAATCACAGATGTAAGTAGCCTGCTCTCTTTTAAGTTGGACTGTTCTGATTTCAGCAGGGAGTTACAAACACCACAGCATCAAGCACAAGCCTTGAAAGTTTCATAAATGGGCATCAAGTGCAAGTTGCTCATTTGAAAGACTCCTGACAAAAACCAGGAAGGCCAACTCTAGGAACATCAACGAACTTTTAAAAAAAATCTACTTTCATGCTGAGCTACTTACCTTATCTGCTTTAAACTGGGAAGAAGGGCTACTCTGCAACTGACTGTCCAATAATGTATTTGACAGGAGTACAGTTTTCACTTTCCAGGTTTAGACTATATGGTAACAACTTTTATGAAACAAAAACAGGCCAGCATGATTTAAGACAACATGGACAGAGCAAATTCTGCACATAACGAAAGGTCATTTAAACCAGCTACATTATCAATTGATATTTCTTAATTTTACTTTTTGGACTGTTAAGTGGCATAATAATTTATTTTGTAATAAACAGTGTTCCAAAAATACAGTCTTCTGCAATAGTACCAGTGCAACCCACTGCTAATGTACTGATAACTTGGACAGTTTTGTCTTGATCATAAGGATTTTACACAAGTACTGTCATCATGTATACAAAATTTCTTTTTCTAATCTGCTTCCACGCTGCTTGATGTGTCAAGGATTTAGAGTAATTAATTTCAAGTAAACCAATGTTATTCCATATTCCTAATAAATCTCTATAAAGCTGTACGCATTCTACAGGTACTAATTCAAAAAACCAACCAAAAAAATCCAATTTCATGACTATTTGTTATAGGGAACAAAGTGTAGTGGTGGGACACAAGAATTAAATGCTTAATTAGAAGTGCAGTGTATAGCCCTTCTTAAAAAGCTAAGCATTTGCTCTGTGTGAAGTAGAGAACTTTTGGATGAACAGATTGCAATGAAAACATTAGCATGCAGTATCTTCTGGGATGTGACTAATCTCAGACCTGTCTTAAATGTACCATGAGGTTCTTATATTTTTTCAAAGAGACAAGTGTACAGTAACATTCTCCATGCATGTTTTCGGAGGCAAAATGTGTTTAGTTTCTCCTTGTGTTTCTCCCAGTCTGTTGCTTAAGACAGCCATACAGACGTCATTGTTCGTCCTGCAATGTGACATTATACTTCATATAGAAGAATAAATTACAATAGTATTTTTCTTTTTGTCCATTTTTGTCAACCTGATAACAAAACTGTGTTTAAGCTAATAAACTGAGAACAAATTTGCTTCCCAATATATATCCTCCTGCATCAACCTGTTTCAAAGATGTGAATAAAAGTCAAGGGCTTTCTTACTATAGGCATATAAATACCCATTCTAAGACACAGAGATTTCATTTTTCTGGTATCTCAAAGAAAAGTAGCCTTGCTTATTTGGATTCAATATACAGATTCTGGTATATCCTTCCTAATAGCAGGAATTTGTGAAAAAAAACCATGAGAACATAACTACAGCTATGAAAATATTTTCTTTCCCATTTAATCTTATAAAGATCATTTTTTACTGATACGTACGAAACAAGATCTGTAGAACTTTATACAGAAAATTACTGAGGGTGTCCAGTTAGGTTATAGGAAACTAGACAACAGTCTAACTGTTGTTTGCCTGTTCATTCAAGCATTTAATGCACTAAATCCAGTAAAATAGCTCTTTTTTTTTTTACAATTCCAATTGAAAATGTAAATCAGAATTGAAACATTAAATTAACCAAAAAAGAGTAAATGAAAGACTGCAAGACAGGATTTCTGTTTTATGGAGTGGAATTGAGAGGGGCAAATAACTGTGTTGACTTATTTATTCTGCAGAAAATTTTTTCATGGATAAGGACTTACAAAATCCTAGATGACTAGACAGTTTATGTGAAACTTTGGGGTCAGCTGCTAATTACTGAAACAGCAGCACGTTGATTCTTGGAGATTGCTCCCAGAGGGAAAAATGGTGTGTAACACTAGCAAAACCTGAATAGCAAAAATCTCGGAGAACAAGATGACCATTACGATGTCAGCAGGTGCAGCAAATCTATTTGATGTATCAGCTATAATCCCTTCAGACCATTTGCTTCTTAGAGATGTGAAAACACAAACGCAAAACCTGCTGGGCTCTGTGTATCTATGCTGCATAATTCACAGGTACTAAGAAACGGAACTTCTGTCAGTGCAACTGCCTGAGTCTTAGAACTAAAACCAGAAAAGCCTTCATAGTAATTTCATTAGAATGAGATAATGATGCAAGTTCCAGGAAAATGCTGGAAAATTTGAATCATGGCACTAGTTAACTTTGAGAAATGAAAATTTGCACTCAGTGTGCTTTGTACTTCTCTGACCGGTAACAGAAGAAACTGAAAAGTTATGTTACGTTTGAGTCAGTCTACATGCCCATCCTAGGTCTGGATGAAATTCTATTCACAAGTATTTTTAGTTTAGCATTAAATGCCAGCATAAGCTTTCAGCTTGTTTTGCTCTCTGGAACTTTCAGCGATCTCCTGGCCCGTAAAATCTCAAACAAGGTCATATCTCATGAATCCAAACAGTCATATGTAGCACACTGATGCCCAGGTGAAGACCCTTTCTCTTGATTCTAGGGAGGATTTTCGAATTGTATGCTCAAGTTGCGTGGAAGACATTCCTCCAGGCTGCTCAGGCTTTTGAATATTGGTGTGTGTTGCTGGCTTTAGGCAGAAAACTTGATCGTCCTTACTAGGGTTTTTGAGAGACACCCTAAGGGTGCAGGTCTGTTTCACAATCTCAGTTATGCTCTGTGCTCTTTCAGAGACTGCAAGACTTGCCAGTCTATTGAGGGCTACTTTTTTTTTCTGTCAGCCCAAAGAACCTTTCATAAGGCTTCACTCAAGGTATCGCTCTGCTCTGGTCCAATGCCTCTATCAAAACTCTTACATAGGGCAGATGAGGGCATGGAAAATTCTTAACATTCTCTAGTCTTTGGGATGCACACCTCAGTCTTTGGGCAGGACCTGAAGAAGGGCCATTCTTCTGCAGGACTGCTTTAATGTCATTTTTAAGTTCCTGACCTAACATCAAGAAGATGCTACCTATGTTCAAATGTACTTATACAATAATAGATGCCAGACTATCCTCTGGATCCCTCAAATGTGTCCTATTCCATCTGTTTCTCCTGAGTTTGTTCCATTGTTCCACTCCAAACATTCCAACACCATTAGGAAAATTTGTCAGCCTACCTGATCCTGATCTCGAAGGCCACACATATGGATGAAGGTAGGTAATATTATCGTAGTTTTTTACATCCAGAAACAGAATTGTGTGAGATCCTTTCAGAGTGTCCAGAGATGGTTAATCTGTGCTTTAAAAGCCGCAGTGAAAGCTGCAATCATTACCTATTGTAGGATCAAACCAGCACTGCAGATCTTCACTGCCATAAGCTCTACTAGTGAATTGTTCTCTGAGTGCTGTAATAAGAGTAATCTGTCTTAAGATTTCATCTGTTTCCGTAATGACAGAAAACTTCTCACGTTCACACTTAGAATCCAGTTATTAAACTTATCATCATCTGCTATATCCTATCAGAAGTTAGGAACTTATTTTAGATTTTGTCTGGGTGGTTTTTGAAGCAGCCTATCATCTTGTGGCCAGTATACAGTTTCTGCTTGACAACTGAACACATTCTAGCACTCATTTGCTCATGAATTAAATAGGGCTAGTGAGGTGTGGTGGTCTGATGAATGACAAACTTATAACTTGTTTATAGGAAAAAGAGTATAGACAAGTTAGAAAATCAACTGTTAAATGGTTTTCAAGGTGGGTTTTTTTAACATCTTCATTTTCCATCTCCCTTTTTGGTTTTTAGGGTTTTTCAATCCTGTGTCAGCTTATTCAGTCCAGAAGCATCAGAAGCATGGGATAATACACAGTAGGGATTTACCTGTGTTGCTGCCTCAGCCTCTGAAAAGACTGCAGCATCACCAAAAGCTAAACAAGTCCTCATCCAGAAATGTAAACTTCCCTTTCTCTTCCCTTGCAAACACGTGGTAGAATATGTTATGCTTTATATTCCTATGGTATCTACAATGTAAAATGACCACGCTCAAGATTACAGTAAACCCGGTCATTCTCAAGTTACACTGTCCAAATAGAAGATTCATTTCTGAGCAACTCATCTGCAAAATCTGCTAGTTTTCTTTTTATAAACCACACTTATTAATAGAGGATATATCAGCATCTGGACACCAAGTTTGAAAAGCTGTTTTCAGTGGGGAAGCAGAGTAATTCCCTGCCAGAGGAGCAGTTTTTGCTATGAAATCCTATTCCAGTAGCATTTAGAAGATAAAAGTTTTGTGTTCTAAAGCACTCAAAGCACAGAAAAAACTCTATGATCTATAATGAACTCCACCAAATTGACAAAAATGTTAGATTGCACTTTGCAGCACTATACAGGAAGTCCCAAGACTAATTAGTTTCTCTTTTTTATACAATTGCATTTTCACAAATTGTTCTTGCTGTCACAGCTGGCCTTGGGACTATTTACATTTTTTTGCATGCATTTGGGCTATCACTTATGTTGAGAGATAGCTATATTCCTTGCACACAAATACCAAAGGAAATTATCACAATCTGAGCAGTTTCAACTCCTGAGGCTTATTTTAATTATAATAGGGATAGCAAAACAATTCCAAGAATTGACTTTTTTTTCCTCCTTAATTGTGGGATTGGCAATGGTCATATTCAGAACTTTTTAATTTTGACTTCTGAATCTTCCTTTTCTTGGTTACCTCTTTTAAGCCTCCCTTATATGCTTTTTATGGCATTAATTCATAGTTTTTATGGCAGTTTGTTAGTAATTTCAAAATATATTTTAGTTGATCTGAAGTTGTCAGATTGCAGGATCATGGTGTGAAAAATTATTAAGTTCTATGAGTTGTTTTCCTGCAGGAACATCTACCACACAATGTGAAGGAAAACAAGAAGAAAACCTATTTTCTGCTCTCTATACCAAGAAAAATAGGATAGGAAAGGTTGCCTTACTAACTTACTAGTTATATTTCTGAAGGAAACCAGTTCTCTATGAAGTGGATTGTTCATGAGAGCTTCTCATATCTAAGCAATGGCTTTCAGTGTAATTTCAAAGAAGGAAATCTACATCATTTTTTCCCCCTCCATAAATTCATCCTTTTCTACAAATGAGAATAACAAAATTTATATAAAGAATATAATTATTTCTAACTTCTACATAACTGCATAATTTTCCTTCCTGCCTTTTTTAAAAAATAGATTCTTTCTCCTTCCCCTCTCATTTCTTTGTTTTTGCTTCTGTTGCTCTCATAACCTGCTCCCTTTTCATGGTCTTACTTTTTCCAGTCTCCTGAAGGACTTCACCACAGTCTTTCAGGTGAACCTCTGGGGTACAATGCTTTTCAAAAAGCACAACTCCAGATGACACTTTTTCACAACATTCACCTGGAGAAACTGGCTTCCCATGGCACGGCTGGGTGCACTCTTCGCTGCGTTGAAACCTGGCTGGATAGCTGGGCCCACAGTGTGGTGATGAACGGTGCTACATCGAGTTGGTGGCCTGCCACTAGTGGGGCTCCCCAAGGCTCAGTACTGGGGAGAGTTCTGTTTAATATTTTTACTGATGATCTGGACATGGGGATCAAGTGTACCCTAAGTCAGTTTGCAGACAAAACCAAGTTGGGTAGGAGTGTTGGTCTGCTGGAGGGTAGGAAAGCTCTGCAGAGGGATCTGAACAGGCTGTTATCAATGGGGTGAGGCCAGTTCTGTAAGGTTACATGAGGCAAAGTGCTGGGTCCTGCACTTGGGCCACAATGGAGCACTACAGGTTGGGGAAGAGTGGCTGGAAAGTGGCCCAGCAGTAAAGGAGGTGTTGGTCAACAGCTGGCTGAACATGAGCCAGCAGTGTGCCCAGGTGGGCAAGAAGGACAACGGCATCCTGGCCTGTATCAGGAATAGTGTGGCCAACAGGATTAGAGCAGTGATCATCCCCCTGTGTTCAGCACTGGTGAGGCCACACCTCGAATCCTGTGTTCAGTTCTGGACCCCTCACTACAAGAAAGACACTGAGGTTGTGGAGCGGGTCTGGAGAAGGGCAACAGAGCTGGGGAAGGGTCTAGGACACAAGTCTTAAGAGGAGCAGCTGAGGGAGCTGGGGTTGTTTAGTCTGGAGAAGAGGAGGCTCAGGGGTGATCTTATCACTCTCTACAACTACCTGAAAGGAGGTTGTAGCCAGGCTGTCTCTTCTGCC